AAAAACGCCCGACAATGAAGTCCCTGTCTAGTTATTATTGTTGATCTGAAAAATAGTTATTTATTAAAAAGAATAGATGAATATCTGAAGAATCTTATCCACAGACACTGCCTTGTATATAAAAATGATGCGTTCAAGCTACGATATACTCACATATTTTGTGGTTGACATAAAGCGACGAAATAATACCGATGGATGAAGGGGGAAAATCTTTGTGAGGAGCTTATTTCATTAACTGTATCGATCTAAATAAACAAAAAGACACTATTAATAAAAAGCATATTGATCTATGGTGAATTCTTTTTAAGAAATGCTTTCGAATAGAAAAGAGATAGAAGAAATTCATAATGACACCTACGTGCTAATGTTCCGGTATTTTGGTATGATTAGAAAGTAATTCATCAAGATATAAAAGCACAGATTTTAAGTTTTAATAGTTGTTCTTGTCTCTCTGAGAAGAAGCTACTTATAGAATGACAATAGATTGCCCGAGTGAAACATCTTGTAAGCAAGATCTGGAAATCTTGGGATCGGTAGGTAACATCCTATCAAGATCTTAAAAAGATAACTTGAATGTACATATGTTGGTAGTATCAGATAAATCTGTACCTAAGATCTTGGCAAGATCATGGAAAAGATATCGTTTACTATTATCTTCTCACAAGATCTTGAGTAAAACAGAAAGCGACATCATTAGTGTATTTACATACTCTCTAAACAAAAACCGTTTCCTAGAAAACCCAAACCGGTTCGGAAGCCCTTTCAGGTGTCCGAGAGAGTTTGCGAGGACTCGAAGCGTTTTCAAAAATACCTTTTCGGTTTCTGAGGTCTCGGAAACCCTAGGGTTTCCTACAATACCGGTTTCAATGCCCTTAAGGTATTTTACAAAACCTTTTCCCACTGTCGGAAACCAAACCGTATTCTCAGAAACTCTTAGGGTTTTCTAGGAAACTGATATGGCCAGAAAAACTGAGTTGGCATCTGAATGGGTATGCGACAATACCTTTTCGGTTTCCGAAGCCAGCATTCGCAAGCCCTTTCGGTTTCCGAGTCTACTGAATGCCAAAAAAGTATTATGGAAAACCAAAATTGGTTTCCGAGTGTTTTTCAATTTGAGAAGGGTTTTCATACTTCTAAAAATGTTCAATATTTCAGAAATAGAACATGGTCCAAGTTCAAAAGATCTCAGAACGGCATTTTCTGCGATCAACATTGGGAGATCCAAATTACACAGACTACAAAGTTAGACATTTTATTTCAACTCTGTTCTCCATTTTGATGAAGGTTTGAAATAGCCCACCGAGGTCCAGGAAGCGGAATCCGTCATCATTTTTTTGATTCAAGCTTCCATCGGTCAGAAATTGGACTGATCGGAAATGAGATTTTTTTATCCTTATATTGAAATGTTTTTCTCGAATTGATGTATAGATTGGCTGATTATATATTATTATTTCATAATCTAGTAGTATTTTTTGCGGCAGAGGAGTGTAATAATTGAAGATGATGTAGGCATTGATGGTGTGGTTTCTTTTAGATTTAGAATTCGAGAGAAATTTCCATCGCTATTGAGGGACAGAATTAATAGAACAGCCCTATCGATATCCGTATCCACAGAAAATGTGTCTGCATTGTGCAGTCGTGCGTTAAGTGAGTCGAAGTGGCGACGACTACTTGTTTGTTTTGCTTCAGTTTAGATCAATTGTTAGATGAGCAAGTAAGAGTGGTGAGTTCAGTTTTAAAAGTTAAAATGTAATGAAATATTTTATTTCTTTTTAGATCCAACATCACATGTCGATCGTTCTATCCACCAGATCCTGGAGATACTGACAGGAAAGATGCCTGAAAGACACTGTCCTGTCGGAAAATAGATGATATCATTGTAACATGGTAGCAGTGTCCCAGCCGTACACTCTCTAGATTTTTTCTGATCAGTTCCGACCAACTTGCTGTGTTTTTCGGCAAGATGCACCAGAAATGATGAGAAAATACTTGGAAGAGTTTACGGGTGGGATACTGCTTCCGTGTTCTAGCGATGTCCTGTGTTTCCCTAGAGGGTACCGTAATCTTCATGTGCTTTTCCTGTCGGTTTCTGCAACTTCCGGTGGGCGTAACGATCGGCCCGGGCTATAGCGATTTGCTGATTCTCGATACAGAACGGGCCGAATGAAATCTCGGAAACCCTTTAAGGGTTTCCGATTTTGTTGCTATCGGAAACCTATTTTGAGTTTCCTAGAATACCTTCTTTTTTAGACAGTAGGTCGAATAACACACACACCGTACCACTTACATTCATGTTTATTATTTGATGCACCTCGCCGATGCTCATCATTATCTTATCAACATCCTATTATTAATATAATTGAAATTGAACCAACATCTTCTGCAATATCCAAAACAATTGATAAATTACTTGATCATATTCAAAATGTTCAGGATCAACAACAATTACGTTTTATATTACACCTGTGCATTAATTATTTTGATCTTTCAAAGATTACACGAGCCAACACGCATATACAACACACTATTAACACCGATGATAGTCATCCGATTAGCTCACGACCGTACCCAAGAACAATCAAACAACGACGTGAACTCCAAGATGAAATTCAATTGATGCTACAAACTAATCAAATTCGTCCATCCAATTCGCCATGGTCATCTCCAGTTATTATTCACAAAAAGAAGGATGGTGGTATTTGATTTTTAGTGGATTATCGTAAATTAAACTCGGTGACCAAAAAAGATTCTTTTCCGCAGCCAACAACTGAAGGATTATTACATCGATTAGGTGGTCATTTTTTTTATACAAAAGTAGATCTTAAATCAGGTTTGAATGATAATGATTTTGATGGAATTAAATCGGCAGTTTTTAACATTTAGTTTTTAAGAAATCTCAAAATTTTCAACCTTGTTATAATTCTAAACTGATGTTCAAAATGTAGTTCAAAATGAATTATATGTAACAGTCATCATCAGCAAGTTTACATCATCTGTTTCCAGAGATAGCTTTATATTAGCTCGTTTTTTATTTAATTATAAATTAGGTTTAGATGTGGAAGGGATGTGCTCCATGTTGTGCGAACCGGATGTTTGATACGTTGTCGTTATGAATCGGTTTGTTTTATCGTTTGCCTTTTCTGTCTAATGGTTATTGGTTTTTAGAGGAGTTGCCTACGCACTTCTTCAGTATTTCTCTTGTGTTGAACCGATGTGGGAAATGATTTTTCGGAATGATTGAAGCTATCGCATATTTTTTGTGCAGTTTTGTTTGGTTGAATTGTTTATCGATGGTTTATCGTTTTTGTATGGTTTCGTTCTCTTCTCTTCACCTTACAATGGAGGTGTTTGTTAGCGTTAGTGATGAATCACACTAACGCTACAACGATGAACAAGATGTGCCTTCTAGTCTAATTGGCTTAGGACAACTGCCCGGATAGCAGGAGGTGTGGGTTCGATTCCCATGAAGGTCATTATCTTTTTCATCGTTCTATCACATACCATCAGTGACGCTGCTTTATCTCTTTCGCTCTTCGTATATCTCTCTTTCCTTCCTTCCTTCCCTTCCCTTTCTTATATATCTATATATGAGAGCTAACAGTGTTCGAACTGTAAGTTGAATTTACCAGATATTTTGCATCAATAGAAAGCCCTCACCGCCAAACTAGCATGGTTAAAATATTAGCGGCATGTTGGCGTACCCTTATGGAGATATTCGATTTTTAAGATATTCATGGCTAGGCCATATAGGTACTTTAGAATTATTTATATCAGTCTTTTTATACAATTAACCGAGTACTTTACTTCTAGGCTATTAGAATCTCTGTGAAGCTTATTAATAGAATTAATATCACCCCTAATTTCGATGCCTTTTGGGTGCGGGTGTGGTTGTGGGAATGGGTGTGAGTTGATATGACAACAGACACCAAAGTGTACCCATCCAAACACCCATACCCACACCCACATCCTTAATTTCACCGAGCCGATATTCAAATACAATATCATCAACTATCATCATAAGTCAGGATCTTGTAACTCAGGCAGACGTATCTGAATTGATCAATTTTATTCAATATGCTCTTGCCTATTTGTATCAAGAAAAATCGAAATAACAATTATGAACAATAAATCAATTTTTATTTTTAATGTTGATTCTTTTTCTGTTCGAAGAGTACAAAACATAATAAAGAAAAAAGTAATACTTTGCTCCACTGATTTCAATCTCGGATAGAAAAAGAATAATTTCGAAACTGAGACTTGAATCATCATATAAGTACTAATATTAATGTCAATGTCGGTCAAAAAATGAGTTAATAAAACATTTTATAAGGAATTTATATTTTGTTGAATTTCACACAATTTTTTATCAACTTTTAGATTATCCTTATATCAATAATCAATCACAAGAAACTCTATCTAATCTAATAGAAGAGTTTTTCGTTCTGTTTTCTCCTTTTAGCTAACAGATACACATGGCACATAGAAGGAGTGATATAGATAATTTAAGGAAGAGAGTCACTGAGTTAGAAATATTAAATAGAAGTTATAACTTAGAATCGTGAAACGATAATCGTTCTCCATTTATTATTATTGTGCGTATTGTAATTATTTATCAATTGTTATTATCTGTGTGTGCTCATATTGTTATTAAAATAAATATCAGCAAAATCCGTAACGTTATATTTTGATTTATCAATTCACCCAGAACCAAAGAATAATAACTCACGAAATATTTCGTTACAAACTATTATATATTTTTGATGCTGTAATAAGTTTATTGATAAAAGAAGAAAATAATAAATATTTAGCCTTCTGAATTCAGTTATTGAATGCGATTTATAGAGTCCCAAATTAAGTGGGACTATACTGAAGACGAAGGCTAGAGATTGGCCATGACACTGCGTTTCTCACTGTACGTATTTGAACTAGGTTTCCATTAGGATTACTGATTGACTAAATATTCTGTTTGTATACGTCACCGGCATTTTTATTGACGTCGGATATTTAGAAGATGGATGTATCAGGTAACATTCTCTTATATGTTGCACTTTGTTAGTAATATTTTTATTGAAAAAAAGCGATGTTCAGATCAAATTTCTTTCTTATCTAAATGATGTTTATAATGAATTTCGATAGATAGAATAAGCACTTTGATACCAAAAAATGTTATAAAATGCCGATAGCAATACTAACACTATTAATTACAACTTGCTTGTTGTCCTTACAATAGTAGCGTTCGAAGTCGAAATTCAAAGGACATTACTTTTTGGCCCGACTCATCCAATAGATTTATAAAATGCATCTTTTTTTATGTATGACATTGTTTTTACTGACAGGTAATTCTAGGAAAACAATGCTATCATGAGGACAGTCATTTATACTAACCATTTTTTAAGAGAAAACAAGACTAATTCGAATTTAAGATATACTCTGAGTTAGTAATAATTTACTAAATTGATCATTAAAGCTGATTTGACTAAGTTAACATTCACTAACGTCAATGTAATATCTCTAGGACAAGCCAGATTTCGACAAGCAGTGGTTACGGCTGTAGCAACAACAGTGGAGAAAGTTTCCAATGAATTAGTCAAGTCTCAAATGAAAAATGGCCGCTTCATTAATTCATTCAATCCTAAGTTTAAATTGCCCCATCTAGGGCATGTTTTAAGTTGGAAGATCACTTCACCGAAAAACACGCGGTTGCCGTCCAGTAAACAAGAACTTGATAGAATTCTACCTATTATTCGATACCAAAGACCCGAAGAACTATACTTAACAACATCTGGTTTACGATTTATCTGGATTGGGCACGCTTCATGTTTTGTTCAAATGAATAATTTTCGATTTCTTGTTGATCCAATTTTCAGGTACATCTTCATTCATTTTTCTTCTTTTTCTCTATTGAAAAACAAACTGACTGATAATAGTGAACGATGTGGTATAGCATCATTTATCGGACCGAAACGCTTTCGCCCACCGGCATTAACAGTAAATGATCTACCTCATGATCTCGATGCTATACTTATTTCACATAATCATTTTGATCATCTCGATTATCCTAGTGTAAAAAGTTTAAATAAACGTTATGGTGAACAATTAACATGGTTCTGTGGTCGAGGTACTCGACAATGGTTTCTTGATAGTGGCATAAAAAATGTTATCGAGCTCGATTGGTGGGAACAGTTCCAATACGCTGTAAAAAAAAGATTTCTTCTAAAAATGTTTTTATCCAAACTCATTTTCTACGTTTTTTATTAGAAAAAAGATGTGAAAATTGCTTTTTGTCCAGCTCAACACTGGTAATGTTGATTGGCATTTTTGCCTAGTAAAATAATCTTTTTGGCTGTAGGAGTCGCCGCACAGCATTCGATACGAACAAATCGCTATGGGGTGGCTACGCTGTATGGGATAGTACACACAGATTTTACTTTGCTGGTGATACAGGCTATACTCATGATATTCCAATTTTTAAGCAAATTGGTGACAAATATGGTCCATTTAACTTAAGTGCTATACCTATCGGTGCTTATGAACCAAGATGGATGATGCAAGCTCAACATGTGTCACCAGATGAGGCTGTTCAAATGCATATTGATGTTCAGTCACAAAAATCGATCGGCATTCACTGGGGTACATGGGCAATGGCCAATGAATATTTTATGGAACCACCTGAGAAACTCTCTCAAGCCGTTCAATTCAATCAACTCGACCCATCATCATTCATTGTAGTTCGACATGGTGAAATTTTTGACTTACCATAACGATAGCAGTTCATCACGTTTTTTATTATTCAGAATTTTAGTCTTGACGGCGAAAAACTAAATCACCTGTAGTTTCGAAAAAAGTGGCGGGTGGTTTAGAATGAGTCACAATACATTCTATTACCCTTTATCTTATTCGTTATGGATGCTATTATTTTGTTTTCTACATCAGAATTGAGAAAATTCAACATCTAGACTATTGTCGATTTTATTTTTGAAGTATATTTTACTTGTTGAAGTCTAATTTCAAATATTCAAGTCTACTTAACCATTCAATTTCGCTTTCTCTATCCGAATTTATCAATTTGTGTGAACTTTTCTTCATCAAGGATAATGGTTAGAGTTATTTTTTTACACGTGTTTAAAGAAGTTTGATAGCTTACAGACATTTACGATCTCATCATTGGTTAGGGTTGAACCAGGAAACACATGGTTTTTACCGATCGCATGTGAAGAAAAAGAGTAAAACAAATAACGAAGATATTATAATGAAATTGGAATACTATTGCGTACCATATATTGTATTACACAAAAAACAATAATAGTGTATTGCTATCTAGGATGTGCTTGAATCTTCTCTTTGGCCATACTCACACACCTGCGCTAGAACCATAAATGATTTCATATAGCACCTTTTCTTTTAAGAGAGCACTGTTTAAATATCCCATAAGTATTCCTACCTTGTTATCTTTATAGCTAGACTCTTCATTCTGTGTAATCACGTTTTTATGTCCTCTATTTGCTGTTTTCTTAATTTTTTAGATACACAAAAACAAATAATTTGTTCTAGATTGGTATTCGAAGTCTATTTCCCGCTGTTTGTATTAGTTGTTAAATAATGACACGTGTTTATGTTTGAATTATGCAGTTGAACTTGTATTCTATCATAAGAAATAGTTTTAGTGTCTTCGTTGAATGTACTAACAAAATCAGAGTTGCAATATTTTTAGTGGCTTGATAGTTTAGGATATTATTTTTGCGTTCATTTAACTTTCGACTTGATGAATTCTTTTCAGCGTGAAATAATCATCGCCATTTCCAAAATCCGTGGCTTTAAAAGTAATGCATATAACATGCACAGTAAGAAACAAGTGCTATAAGTTAAGATTAATTCATAAGCATACACAATTCCAGAGAAACAATCCATTATTCACTGCTATTATTCTCATAAAAACCAAGATACTTGGATACTCGGAAATAAATATTCACTTGGTTTTCGAGTTTAGGTTTTATTAAAGATGACGCCATAGAAACAGTCATTGGTAGATCACTTAACCAATAAGAAAATTAGTGATGATATCTGACATAGTTTACTCCGTCGTAATTATGTAGATTTTTTGAGTCGTAATCGATGTTTTCAAGATTAAAAATGCAAATTTAGTAGTAAAATTATTTTAAAAAATTATAAATGAAGAGAAAACGATTTGGATCGTTGGTTTTCTGAAGAACCACAGTTAACTACCGGTTTTGAAACGGTTTGACCGACATGAGACCGAATTGAATTTCGATTTTAAATAATTTTTAATCTTGTTAATTGCATTAATCAATGTGTCATGCGCCATGAATGAGCTATTCACAAATGGACAACCTTCATACTACATACGTCTTTTATCACAGACTTCCATTTGTTTCCACGGTGACTGCGATTCAAGAAAGTTGCAAAAAAAGTCACTCTTAATCATGAAACAGCTAAAACAGTCACATCTATAATTTTGAAAAGCTACGAAATTTAAATAGCTGGTAAAGGAGAACCAGACTAACTATACTTCCTGTCAAACACCCATTTGAGTAATTGACAATCTTCTCACTTATATCGGGCTGAAGCAAATTAGAGTAAAATCTTCTGTAGAATTTGCAAAAACGTTTCGTTGGTGATAGTAACATTACGTGATGGCAATCTTCACCAATCCATGATTGCAATAAGCGAGAACAGCACGCTAGTAATGCTGCTTCTAACTTCTATCTTTTCCCGGTACTCTTCTGTTGGAACCTGTTCATACTTATTGACTCATGGTAATCGCAATCACAATCACATTGTACTCTTCGAATCAATGAATGATGACTACAACACTCACTTTATTGTATGATTGAAATCTTCATCACAACGAGTATGTGTTTCCTTTTGTCATTCATCATATAAGCAGTAATTGTTCTAGAGTGTAGATAATAAGTTAAGAAAAGCTGTAGAAATCAATTTTGCTTTTGATGCAGCAGTGAGCCGCCATGAAAGAACTCTTCAGAGAGTTCTTGAGGGTATCCAAAAATGGCAGAAGAGTTTCGGCAATGTGCTATAATACGATTATATTTGCTTAGCTTAATGTTACAGATTAAATAAATTGAAGAATGCCTATAACGACACGAACAGTTCATATACATATCAAAAAAGTGCCAAACTTTTTAAATAGATTTATTATTTAAGAGAATATTTGCTTATTTTGAGACAGCGCTCACTATAGCTCGATTAATCATGCGCACAGTGTCGATCATCGACTTCACAGCGACCATTTGAGGGCCATTTTTTGTAGCAAAGTTATTTTTTGTATATCCCCACCAATCCCAACAACCCATTGGATTGGTTGGGAAGAGCAGTGAGGAACGAACTTGGGGGAAAATTACAATCAAATTGTTGAGTTCGGCTATTTCCAAATAGCCTGCCTTTCGGGCAAATACATCGTCGACATAGGCTTTGCCTATAAGAAAAAGACAAGTGGTGTTAGTGAATGAGGAGATTGAATCGATACTAACCTTGTTTGCATCCATGTAGTGCTACATGAATGGAACATTCCAGACCCTTGGCACATGCTGACGGAAAATAAGCAAATCCATCATTGTCCAAACTCAGCGAGGAAGCACGTGTTTTTGCTGCTCTGTTTCGCGTGGGCACTACAACACTGTATAGTGTCCAATTAAAAAGACCTGATGTTGACCAACCCCAGTCGATCGGGTTGTACAATGAAATACTGTCGACCAGCCATCTAGACGAAGGTTCGTTACCATAAGTTAATAATGCCGGAGGATACATGAATGCCTCTTGGTCAAACAGTATCATTTGACCGATGAGTGGAGTAACGAAACCTGATCTCGGTTTGATCAAATGATTGCCATGAAGATGATTTAATAAATCATAGGCTAAACTGAAATTACTAAACAAACAACATGGAAACAGTTAATTTAGTTTCTTATCTTTATCTATGCATTTGAAAAATAGCTACCAATTGTTGATATAAGTGTCAAGGTTTGGTATCGCACAGCTACCACCATAGGTTTCAGTAAGAAATCCGTGTGTAGCGGGTAAGTCGTAATTGGTTTTAATGTTAGCGCCGAATGGCGAATAGAGCTTTTCATTCAGTTTGACTAAACCAGGAAGAGCTATTGGATCATATTTACCGGAAAAGATATAAACTGGATCATCTTTTATGTTAGCTAGGCTATCAATATTTCCATTGTTCTCGAAGGATCTCAATTTCCGTTCAAGCAATGATACTGAAATCGATGTCACTGGACCAGTCATACATGCTGCAGCTGTCAAGATATTCCCACCACAATAATAAGGTGGGCCAGCTAGAACGGCACAACCGCTAATATCATTTGAGAATGCGAAGTGCATTTGGTTGGCCATTGATGCACCGGATGAAGCACCCGATATGGTAACAACTGTTTGTGAAAGACTCACCTGGATACATGCCAAAATAATCAGAACACCAAAACGAATGGTAGTGCTACACAAAGCCAGCATATTTTTTTTCTCTTTTGGTTACTGCTTTTCATATTAGAATCGTCGCTAAAATATATAGGCACAATCGCATTGAAAAGAGATTTGTAATTGAAGACGAACCAAAACATTTTTTTTAATTTTCTAAATTAAACCTTTCTTTATAGGCTTGTATAGGAGAGGCAACCTACTTTGCACATATCTGCAATGATAAGGTTCGTATGAATAAATTGAAAGTGCTATTTTGTTACATTTTTTATTAGAATTCGTTTCAATAAAATTGTGCCTATCTTTTTCGCGGTGACTACAAAATTAAAAGCATAGTATAGTAGAGATAGGCGTGAGTGTTTTTATTGAAGAAGGACTCTAAGCAATATACCGTGCTAGTGCTATGACTGACGCGATTATGTGTTACTTTGGCATAGGCGTTATCTTATGTGTACATTTGATTGATCTAGTCTTTTGTGTGAACGGTTATTATTCTGGTTGCCGGTTACATTTCATCGTTGATTTTTTTGTATATGAGACTGATTGAATTAGAATTTTTTATAGGGTTTAGTCATTTTACTATTATGGAGACTATGATAGTATGTTTCTTCTCTATAGTTATAGAACTAATTATAACCTGGTACGTTGAAATGGAAAAAAATATGGATTTCTTCAATTGTCATTGTTTTAACAAGACTTTTACCTTGCATGTTTAATGTTACCTGAATTTCTCATGCAAGTTCAAATTTATTGTAGAGTTTCCTTGTGCATGAATTAGGATTGTAGTGCTTTGTTGGGTTACTATTTACCATGACACAAACTTTGATAACTTTGATTTCTACTCATTAAGTACAGATATTGCAATATGCAACTGCAAAGATCTGTTGAATTGTTTTCTAATGGCGCTTGGTATATGATGATTTAATAGTAGTTTTATATTAGTTCAAATATGCTCTGAAATGAAATATTAGACACGTTAAGAAATGCATAAGGCATGTAACAAACGCTGTATAGAGTATATTACGATGAGTATGAAGCGTATAATAATAATGACATCTATATATTCAACGGGTGTACCAAACTTACAACTCATTTTCATATGGCGATCTTCTTGGTAAATCTTTTCTAATTTTTTAATAATTTCATCAACATTTTTATCCCCTTTCATGAATACATTATTGATAAATCTTCATTGAAATAATATTTTCCGTATTATTTTTTAAATAAAAAGAAACAATAGAACATTATACTATATAGTAGTAATCTATTTCTAACTACAAGAAAATTAATCTGCTTCCCAAGAATATTATTTATGTTATGTATATTATAAGTTGCTGTAAGTTTAGTATGCACATTCGAGAGAATACTGAATTCTGAATATATATATATATATATATATATATATATATATATATATATATATTGTGCAATCGTTTCATATAATATCAAATTTGTCTTTTTTAGATACTTTCTCGAACGTTCAATTGTAGTGTTCTTAATGATAGATTGAGGGTATACTGTGAGTTTTTACATTCTTTATAATTATCCAAATAGCATTCTTGTGGTTGATATAACGTCTAATGAATATAAAGTTTCTTCGTGATCTTGACATTGGTTTGTTAACGATAAGCTTGGTTGTTTGCTTAAAGTGGTCTTAAAATTGAAAAATTTTACTCGAGTCAGTTAACGAAATTTAAGAAGGTTTTCAATGAAAAAAACGAAACCTTCGCATAAACACAAAAACTGTACTTTGTGTAATATATAAAATCATTTACTAGAGCACGCAATGAAGAATCGCTCTAAAACCGAAACATTCATGCTGATATTTGCTCTATTTATATTAATTATTACTGTTGACACTAGTATTTTACTTTTCTAAAATCTTTTTGACTCTTTCTCTATTTCTACGGCATGTGGATATGCTTTAATATGTCTCAATAAGACTAGTCAATCCATTTTACAAAATTGAAGAAAAAACACACATTGAGCTTCGAAGCAAAACTTTGGACATTAGTGTTTATGTTGACTCTTGAAAATATTCTGAAGATTGGGGTCCAAAAAGAAAATGTTCCATGGTTGAATTTTCACATTTTCAAGCAGACTTGATTTCTGTATTACTTGAGTAATACAATAATATTCTGGGAAACTCGATATCTTGAAGAAAGAACATTTCTTTCGATTAAAAATTTTCGAAGATTTCTTACACTATGAATGGCGATGGACGTGACCGTGACTAGACATTGGCCACGACTGGTTTTATGCAAATGAGGCCCAAAGAATTTCTCCTAGTAAAACCTATAGGTCACACGATTGCCTAATCATAAGAACTATCTATTGACAAATTTCTACATCAAAATTCTATGAATTCATTTTTCAAAAACTAAGTACAAAGGAATTCCATAAGATATCATTTTGAGTCGAATGTTACCTGAGATGGTGAATATAGGTTAGAATCATTGTAGGGAAAATATCGGGCTATTGAAACTGTCTCCGGGCACCACCCTATACTGAAAGGTAGCCGCACGGCAAGGGAATTCTTTCTTTCTTTCTTTCTTTCTTCTTAGTATGCGCTGCCATTGTCATGTAGTCATTATCATTTCTAGGGTAGTGTTAAGGTTAAATGGGTGCTGGTGTTAAGCACGATGTTTATTTTAATCCATCTCCAAGGAAAAACAAACATATATATATATATATATATATATATAGAGAGAGAGAGAGAGAGAGAGAGAAGAACGAAAATATATAATAACGAATAGAGATCACAATATAGATGTAAAGAGATCAAAGAAGTGGAGGAATAACACATACTATGTATATGTATGGGTGCGACATCACCCTAACAGGTAGAAAAATATGTAGTGTTTTTCGTGTTTTGTGAACAAACAGGTTAGCGTCAGTTTACTTTTTTGTGCTTATTCTGTTTTCATTTAATTTAATTTTTAAAAGGTAGTATTTTCGTTGACATTTTTTTTACACTTACTGATGTTGTTCCATTGTTTTCATTTGTTTTTCTAAACAGTTTCGTAATAGTTTTGCAAAAAACAGGTGGCTTAAGTTTGACTCAGGTGCAAAACTGTATATTGCAGCTAAGACAGAAATGTTTTAATGCTCGTGAGCAGCATTCTTTATCTGAAAGTTTTCATGTTTAACTATAGTTATTCAGATCTTCTTTCAATATAAATATCGAAAGAGAACTTATAATCAACATAAAGACACTATTATTCACGATGAAAATGTTTTTATCCTCATTTAACCGTTACATACTGAAATCGATCCAAAATAGATGTGATTCATTGAACTTTGTCGATCAGTAATCATGACTGTAGCTGTAAAGCACAATGTGTCACCGATAATACACCGGAATTCCTTTTCGACGCGCCAACATTTTTGCATCCAATTTATATCAGCATACAAGACGTTTCTACACGATTTAAAACTATAATTCTGTGTTTCTCAGCACTTCTAAAACACAGAAGCATGCTATATTTACTATGTATGAAGTGCATACGATAGTTGATTCTAACGATTAATTTCTAATCATTGACTGTTTAAGCAGTGATCCAGCGCTTGTTGGCCTGTCAGGGCAGGCCACCTGTCCAGGCTGAATTTTGAAAATCTGATCTACCTGAGAAATGATATTGATTTCTCCAGTAACCATCTTGAAACATTAAAAGGCACCACAAACTGATGATTTTGTTCACTTTTTAATTCGTTTCTGATGATTGGTGGACATTTTTAGACCACAATAGTGCACGAATTGCATGAATAAAGAAGAAAAGAGAATATGTATGATTAATTTTATTTAATGACGATAAAGAAAACAGTGATGTTTTTTTAGCCCAAGCATAGAAAATATTTATGTTTTATATTTTTTATACACAACAATTTAAAAAAACCATGTCAACTGAACATTATCATCGTTTGTCAACGTCTGCCTCGTATATTTCATCAACAATGTCAATTGATGATATTCAAATTTTATCAACGTCTTCTTCTCTATCTACTTCTACATCATCAAATACAACCCAGGTCGTAGAGGTACGGCGGGAAACGGCCGGAAAGGACGGGAAATCGCTGGAAAGCGGAAGCAGTATTCCGGTCGGAAATTGCCGGAATTTTTTTCCTATGGATTCCGGTCAGGTTCCTGTGCTTTCCGGCTGGAAGATGCCCGGAATACACCGGAAAAAAATCCGTCAATTTCCGACTTGAAACTGCTTCCACTTTCCAGCGCTTTCCAGGGCTTTCCGACCGGATACAGTGACTTTTCCGCATCTTTCCGGTCGATTCCTACGGTATTCGTCCTCATGAATCATTGACCTTGGAAATGGTGCATCATCTTTTTCAAATGTATATGCTTCATCATCATCGTCATCAAATACAAATAATTCCTCATATTCTAGTGAACGAATAAGTTATTTATTAAAACATGAAAAACATAAATACTGTATTGTTGAGAATAGAGCATCATTAGCTGGTGCTCCACATTGGTCTGTTTTTGGATTTCCAGCAAAACTCAACAAAGAGACCAGTAGTTTTGAAAGAATCATAGGATTTACAAGTTGTAATAAATGTAAAAAGACTTTTGTCTATGACAAATAGTGGAACTACTCATTTGAAGCAACATTCATGTGTTATTGATGGTAATATGAAAATATCAACACAAACACCTATTGATAAAAGGATGTTGGCTCGTAAAAAATGAAGTGATGAACAATCGAAGGTAATTAAAGATTTAATTGTACGTTGGGTATGCAGTGATATTCGTCCTTTTCCACAATTGATGATGATGGTCTTAGAGAACTTATACAAGAGTGCGTCAGATTGGGTATACATCTTTTTTGATTTTATATTTATTGAATATACTGTCTTAGGAAGTATTTATGGAAATATTGATGTCAATGATATTCTTCGTGGTCGAACAGTAATATCTACTCATATACAATCTGCTTCAAGATCCTGTCGTCAACGTATTAAAGATTTACTACAGGAGCCATACAATAGTAGATGTTTGTCGATATCACCAGATTTCTGGTGCGATAAATACAAGCAAGTTGCTTATCTCAGTGTTACAGTTGTTATTGTCGATAAAGATTTTAAATATTATACAATTGGTTTGTTCTGTAAACCATTTCAAGAATCTTAAAAAAACTGCTGAAAATATTTTGACTGTAGTTTTAATATTTTACTTTTTAATAAACTTCTAATAATATTGCCTATTATTCCTCTTTCAGGCTTTACAAAGTGAAACAGGATCGTCCACAAATCATATCAGTAATAAAGGAAAAGAGAGGGGGTATATAACAATCAGAGTACAGGTATAAAGTTGCTGGCATATAAGTATTTGCTTGTCAAAATATACTCACAAGGATTTCGCTGTGGACCTATATACGTATGTTCAGTTACAACCATAAAAATCTACTTGAAAGACTATAAAGATAGCAGTAAACATACACTCATGGCAGTATAGTCATAATGATATAAGTTTATGGTGTGAAAGACAGTATGATAATATTGAACTACCTTTCGAGTGCAAAATCTAACGGTACAATTAATAAAGGTGTAATAATAAATCGTGTGAATGACGTTTTAATTTAAATGCGTGATAGAAACATTTCAGGAGTTCTGCGTTTCACCCGACAGCAGAGCTCAGTTGCTTCCTGATTTCTACGACCTGATGCGATCGTGTTTACTTTACCGCCTCTAATAAAAGCTATGCTAATTGAAAAGCAACACACAGCAACGCTACACAATAGTATTCATGACAGGAATAAAAAGAAAGTTTTCACTTCAGATGACAAAGAAAAAAAGCACATGTGATAAGATTTTCATTCTTTTTAAATCAAAACAATAAAATATACTAAAAAGGTAAAAGAAAAATACTATCCATTGAATTGCATTGATAAATAGTATAGAATGGCGCATAAAAGTTTCAAAATGAACACCACTTTAACGAAAAAACCGAACACTGTCTCTGCTAGCAACTTTAAAAAAAGTTCAACTTCTGTTCATAATGGCAGTAAACAAGAGAAGCCTATGACAGTGAACATCGTCTCAAATCATTCTACAACTCGATTGATCGAGAATTGTATTGTTATTTGGTTGGATTCGAATATAAATGAGACCAATGGTGACTATCAAAAGTCTATTAATAGCTTACGAAATATTGTCAACACGATAAAAACATTCACGAATACCAACTCCTGTATCGATTACCTAATTCAAATAAAGGATGAAAAAATATTTATAATCGTATCGGGTGCTCTTGCTCAAACAATTGTACCACACATTCAAGGTATATCCAAACTCGATTCGATCTATGTGTTTTGTGCTAATAAGTCAAAGCATGAATTGTGGATAAATGAATGGAGCAAGGTGAAAGGAGTTTTTACGCAGATCGAACTCATTTGCCATGCACTTAAACGAGATACTCAACAATGTGATAGAAATTTAATACCCATTAGTGTCCTCGCTGCGATGAATCCATTGAACAAAAATTTGAATGAACTCGATCAATCATTCATGTACTCTCAACTTCTCAAAGAGATTCTTGTCGAATTAAAAGACGAAGGCAATCTAAAAAGGCAACTGATAGAGTTTTGCCGGAGCCAGTACGTTGGCAACACTACTGAATTGAAGATCATCGACGAATTTAAAGAAATGTATGAGCAACATTCACCTATATGGTGGTATACTCGTGAATGTTTCGCTTATTCCATGTTGAACAAAGCGCTTCGTACCCAAGATATCGAAATCATTATCAAGATGAGTTTTTTCATACGCGATCTACAGGTACAACTTCGACAGCTCCATTCAGCATCCGACAATCCTTATTCACTAACTGTTTATCGTGGTCAGGGCATGTTACAAGATGAATTCGAAAGAGTTCAACAGAGCAAAGGTGGTCTACTTTCATTCAACAATTTCTTATCGACAAGTATCGATCGACGAGTTTCTCTTCAATTCGCCAAAATGGCACAACATAATCCTGATTTGGCAGCGATTCTGTTTCGATTGGAGATCAATTGCGCGCTGACGTCGACTCCATTCGCTCAATTGGACAACATTAGTTATTATGCAGAATCTGAAAAAGAGGTACTTTTCTCGATGCATACCGTATTTCGTATTGGTGAGATAGAACAAATCGAAAATGGTCTATGGCAAGTGGAACTAATATTGACAGGTGATAAGGACGAACAATTGAATCGTCTCACAGAACGTCTCAGAAAGGAGATTGGACCGGGAACTGGATGGTATCGATTGAGTCAACTAATGATCAAAATGGGTAAATTTGACAAGGCCAAGGAAGTTTCTATAGCACTACTCAATTCAACATCTGATAGCGACGCAAGAACGATTGCTGTCTGTCATCATCAACTTGGATGCATAAGCGACGAGAACGGCGATCTAACAGATGCTCTTACTCACTACAAGCAATCTCTTGATATCAGTCTGACCTATCTATTGCCAGATGATCCTTCATTGTCTTCAACCTATTCAAATATGGGTAGTATATACAAAAAGCAAGGTGACCTCAACGTAGCTCTAGAATATTTCCAGCGTGCGCTCAACATTGATCATCACGTCACTCAACCTGATCAACTTCAGATTGCTACCCATTACAATAATATTGGTCTCGTTCTTAAACAGCAAGACAAATTCGACGAAGCACTAGAATACTATGAACGTGCACTGGAAATCAAGCTCAATCATCTTTCACCACGTCACCCATCATTGGCTACCACGTATAGCAATATCAGTGGGATTCATCAGTCGAGAAAAGACTATTCGAAGGCACTTTTGTTTCTTGAGAAAACACTTGAAATCAAACAAAGATCTCTTCCAGCCAACCACCCATCGCTAATCGTAACTTACCGCAACATAGCAACAGTATTAGATAGTCTTCATCGATATAAAGAAGCTGCTGAGCATGCACAGCACGCAGTTAATATTGCACGACAAGTATTTGAACCTGACCATTTGGAAGTAAAAGATAATCAAGAGTTCCTCGATGAACTTCGTCAAAAATTCTGACCTGAATTATATAATTATACTTTCTTCTTGTTAAAGTGTACTTTCACTTCTTTATTAGCAGGTTCGATAACATACACTTTAACAATAATAAACAAGAACTGAAACCAATAACAGGGACAGATATACTCGTATTCAATTATCTCCAATGAGATAAAGAATATGTAATAATGTGTGGAGGAAAACAGGAGAAAGAAAGATAGCGCTATTGAGATAGATGATACTAATGATCTGTGTGTGCATACACAGATCACAACACTTTTCATTGTAGATCATGTAGATGTAACTATTCAATAGAATACTTCATGTAGGAGTTACGATGCCAATGTAATATGTATTTAAATAAACTTAACAAGAATGCGAGGCTTATTCGTTCATATGGTAAAATATACACGAAAAGAAAAAGAAAAATTTCTGTGCATCCATATATTTATATATGCCCTCTTGTGTCGTATGAGTATCAATTGGTAATTACATGTAAATATGTTTAATTCTAGGCGCCATCAGAATCAATATACATATACTCATACACTTGTCGCTGCCTAATATTTTCATAAAATAATATCTTACCTTTCTCAATATCCAAAGGGACTAATAATACGTTTTAATCATATAATCAGATCTAAATTTGTCAAACGTTTCTTAGAATTATTTGCTAATTTAACAAACAACAAACAACAGACAGATAACACCAAAGAAAATCTATTATTGTTATGCAAAACAGATTTTACACATCTATTTATTTTTTTATAAAGAAAATATATGTTTTATAGAGCTTCTGATTGATACAGAATTAAGTTGACAAGTATTTTTATTAGAGAAAGCAGTTAAATTTTTGAATTTACATCACATAGATTTTTCACTTGATCAACTACTTCTTGCATACGATGAGCGTTAACACTAGGTTGCTTTGGTATTTTTTGTTCAATTTTTGTGATAAAGAAATAAATCCAATGAAGGACTTCATTCAATGTTGAACAATTCAGCATTAATTTACAAGTGAGTCCTTTGCGTATTTTTACAACCGATGTAAATACTGACGGATTGTTATATAACTCAACAAGAGTAGCCATTGCCATCACTTGTGGAATAGCACAAAATTCTAACACTTTACGATGTTTTAATCTGCTAAGATAGTTGATCACATCAGGGACATGATTAAAAGAATCCAGCACCATATGATTTAAGCATTCAAGACTCTTTTCACAATTAGGTGTTTTAGCGAATTCATCAAGATAAGCTGCATAGTTTTGCCAAATTTCTTTGGGCCACCAAGTTCTACCAGCTTTTAGATCTTCGAGATAATCCCGAATTATGTTTGTTTTTTGTAAGAAGAGTCCCATACTATTGCTGAGATGTTTATGTACACATAGATCAGTATCTTCTAAACCACTATTAACGAAGAGAGCTGATAATCCATGACCAACAAGACCAGCAACATAGTGGCAATATAAATTATAACTGGTTAGCGTTTCTATTGAGTCAATCTTACCAACATATTCTGCCATTCCAGTTCCCATTTGAAGAGTAATATTCGATATAATAGACTGATCATTTTTATCAAGTAATTTAAAAACGTTAATGACTTTACCGAAATTATCCAATAATATTCGATAGTCTTCTGTATCACCGACATCTTTTATTGACCAATTATCAATTAATAAATTACTATAAAAAGTATGTAATAAGAAAATCTTTTTATCTTGAGGATATGTCATATCATCTTCAACACTATCAAGACCACGAAGAACAAGATAAAATATACATACAGAATCTTTTAACGGTTGAGGAAGCTGTTGAATAACAAGTGCAAATGAGCGGCTAACTTTATTTAGTGTTGCATAACAAAAATCAAGATCGTTAAGTGTATGTGCCAGTTGATCAAGTGAATTTTTTGACGTCTTAACATAACCACCAAATTTTAGCTTCAATATTGCAATAATTTCCGTTGGAAAAAGAAATGAAGATGTCAACTCCTTTAATACAGGTGGCATATAGAACCATTTTTGTTTCATAGCCTTCATTTGTTGTTGCTTTTCTAATATAATATCATCATCATTTTGAACAGTGTAAATATCACCAACACTCACTGTTGCTAAAGCTGAGAGCAAACATTGATAAAAGTAATAAGGAATATATAAAATAACATTTATTAATGTAGCAACCAATATAATCATTGTTAAAGAATGCGAATGGAAATAATAGTAAGAATTTTCATTATTCATGTTTGTTTTAAAAAAAGATGAGGTTTTCTTTTTAATATTCAGTAAGTAATATGCATCGATACAGGTAAGGCGGCTGTACCAAGACAAAATGCAAAGAACAAAGAAAAAAACGTAGAGATACATAAACGAACGACAAAAAACAAATATCTTCCGAGATCTGATGATGATCGTTCGATGTCGGATGATGATCATCATCAGCGTTTGGTTGGTGTAATTTATATGAAAAGGAATTGTGTTCTTTTTCTTGTTTCAACAGTTATTATTATTCAATATTGTTATACTGTTCATTATTAATATTTTACAAATAGTGATTTATTTTATTTTAAAGATTTCTAAATGGAGCAAAGATAAAAATCGAACTAAAGTAAAACTAAATTAATTAACAAAATAAATAACAACAAGTTGAGTAAATTAGTCGAGATTTCGATTATCTCTACGATTCGAAGTGTCATATATGATTAATTTGGAAAAAGAATAAAAGACATGTCAGAACAAATGATTAATAAAATTTACAGTAAATTAAGATGCAAAGAAAGAATCCAGAGTACTAACCTCTGAAAAATATTTCCGGATTATTCCTAAATTTTGATTCTTTCATAATATCGTATTCAGAATTTGTTTAATTTCTTCTTTAACTAAAGGTGCACTTTATTGAGGAATTTGAATCATTCATCTGTTTAATTATATATTTCTTTGCTACTGAAACTAGAGAAAGTACGAGTTAAATTAACTCTGTAATTAATGATTTGATCGAAATAAAAATTATCAATTAAAATAAAGTGAAAAGATTAAAAACCTTCTAAACGATAAACAGATTTCTATTTATCAACTGAGACTAAAATTGTCAATCGCTTCTAAAAGATACGCTCGTTGAAAGTAGATCGTTGCCATTTTTATCATAATCGTAAAGATAGATTTAAAAACTTGAAATAATATTTGATTGACTTCATGAAAATAAAATGACTTAAAGATGCCATTCTAGCTCTGATAGAATAGTGATACAACAACAAAAAGCTAATTTTTCCACAAATAAATCGATGAAAAACATATTGAAACGAACTATTTCATATAAAAATTAGATTTTTTCTTAATTTCAAGAAAAGATAAAAATGTTTATTATCGACATACTGCGACGTAGATCTCGAATGAATATTAGCGTTGGCTGACATAAATCATGATTGACTAACGATTCTTTCCAATAACAATATAAACTAAATGTCATCAGTCAAGTCTGTGTTATTGCCGAATATTCTATAGATTATGTGTCAATAATGAATTATTTGAGAATTAGATAGTTTTAATATTCTGCACTACTGAAGCACTTTATTAGCTATTATATTATATTATTTATCTAATTCTACTATTACTCAAGTCTAAATAGATTAATTTAGCTTTTCAACATAGACAAGATCATTTGTTTTGAAATACTCTTTCTATGAAGAGAAAACATCGTACATTTATTCAAAGAGAAATGCAAATTTTTAATTATTTGATTGATACAATTTTTTTATCACTATAAGTATCATTTAACATTGCATATCGAAATCTTGTCCACTTCAATTTAGATCGGACTTTCTATGTTTTTTATATGAATTATCTAGAAATTTTGTCTTTTTATCTATTCAATTCTAAATATTCGATGAGATCAATCATTAATGGAACAATAAAGTGCTACATATTGGATTCTATATCATGTCATTTCTTAAAGGCTTCATCGGTATAATATTCAAATTTTATTTGCTGCTTCTATTGATTTATTCTTTCACGGCAATGATTTATTCTGTTAAAAACTATCAAAGTTTTCGAACTAATAATGATAAATTTAGTGCGAATGTTTGTTGATCGAAGTAATTGTTGAACATATTGAAAGCTGAGAGCAGAAACTAAGATATTATTTTCTCTCTTATCGAATAAAATATATTTATACTCTATACTTCGAACAAGAATAATAAAATTTGAAGAAAGTTTTCAAACGAAATTTGTATATTTATATGTGCTTTTAAGAATACGTAAAACTTATAAAGTTTCCTCTAATTTTGATATATCTGAACGAGGTCGTCTTATTATTATTGGTTTATTGTTTGTTGGAATAAGTGAAAGTCTTCTTTGTTCATTTTGTATATGATGATTAATAGAACCACGAATAATTGAATGTATTTGTTCTTCAGTTAATGCTTCTGATACATGTGAATGTCTCCAGCCATAAGCTTGTTCTCCATGTTCTTCTTCATCTAAACCTAATTCTTCATCGTGCTCAATTTTTAATCCAACAATTTTATCAATAATTTTCAATAAAATAATTGTTATTAAAGCAGACCATAAACCAGTAACAACAACAGACATGATTTGAACTCCAAGTAGATATGGACTATGATTTCCAAATAGAAGACCATCTTTGCCATCTTTATTAAAAGATTTTTGACCAAAAAATCCGATTGCAATGGAACCAATCATACCTGTCACACCATGAACGCTTGATACATCTAAAATAAATAATATGTTGTTTTTCTTTCCGAGAAATTAATTTACCAAGTGCATCATCAATACGTAATTTTTGTTTAAATAATAATATACTAGAATAAGAAGTAAATCCAAGAATAACTCCAATAACAGCTCCATATTGAGGATCGATATAACCCGATGAAGGTGTAATACCAGCTAAACCAGCAATAACACCATTAAGAACAGCTGTAGCTGATGGTTTATGTCTTATCCATGATATAATCAACCAAATAACTCCACTACAAACAGCTGATCTTTGCGTCGCAACAACAGTTGATACAGCTAATGATCCACTTTGTAAAGCACTACCAGCATTAAAACCAAACCATGCTGTCCAAAGAAGTGCTCCTCCAAGTGCTGCTAATGGTAAATTTGATGGAGGAAATTCTCCATCATATTTATCAAAATCTTTTCTTTGTCCTAAAACAATTCCACAAATAAGTGCTGAAACACCTGATGTCGTATGAATGACAATTCCACCTGCAAAATCCTTAATTTAGTAAAATATGTATATATATGTATAAATAAGATATTTCAATGATTAAATCAAAACAAAATCATTAACCTGTGCTTCAAATTTAGTATTTAACCATCCTTCTCCCCAGATCCAATGTGCAACTGGATAATAAATAAATAATTCCCAACCTATTATAAATATAACAAAAGCTTTATATTTAAGTCTTTCTGCGAATGCTCCTGTTATTAATAATGGTGAAATTGCTGCAAACATCATTTGAAAAAATCCAAATAAAGCAGCAGGAATATTTGGTGCATGTCGAGAGCAACTATCATATGGAACATTAAGCATTAATATATTATCGAAATCTCCTATTATTCCTCTATATGTATGCCCAAAAACTAATGTATAACCAATCAAATGCCACATCACTGATAATATTGATGCTCCGCCAATTATTTGAGTTACTAATGAAACAGTGTTTATACTTTTTAATAAACCAGCTAAAATATTTAATAAAACAATTTATTTCAAATTAAAAAAAACGAACATAAACCTTCAAAAAAAGCCAAAGCTGGCATCATTGATAAAACTAATATTGATGATATTAAAACCCATGTTGTATCACCTGTATTTATACAATCGGTTGTTTCATTTGTATGTAACATAATTGTATTTTCTAATCTAAAATAAATTTTCTATGTGAAACATATTCGACTTTTAATAAATTATGTAACTTGACTTAACTTTTATTTATTATCTGTTTTACAACATTTTTCTTCTTATCTCATAAAAATATTCATGTGACTAAAATAAAAGTAAAGGTCAATTTTCTCTATGTTTTTTCTTTAATTATTTATTTATCTTCACAAATATTTAAATAAATATTCATATTTTCTTATCATGATTAATAAATTTAATTTAAAAAATTATTCTAAGGCTAATTAGCATATAATTAATTGTATGCTTTCTTCAAATCAATATATATTTTATTTAATTATTTTCAAATAACATTCCCATGTGATGAAAACTGGGCAAAAACCGCGGTTTTACTGGTCCTGTTACCGGCTCCGAAAACTGCGCTGAACCGGTGGTTTTGTTCGGTAAACCACCACAAATCGCTAGCTTTTTCCTGTTGAATCGCAGCTAAACGAAACTGTTCGAACCTTCTTCTTGTCCATATTTGTTTTAAATTTAACAATCATTTTTGAATTAACCTAATTTATTTCACCTAAAACAATGCAAACAAACAAAAAATTATATTGAAAGAAATATTAAATACTTAATAAAAAAAAGTGACATTTAACAGAAATTAATTTAATATTAAATGTGAAAAAATAGATCTAAAACTGTAACAGACAAAACTTAATCTAAAAGATTTTTTAATCATTAATTTTGAAATTAAATTTAAAAAACTAATCTAAAGAAGAAATGAATATTAAAATATTCATTTTTTAAACGACAAAGCAAATATGTAAATTTATGTGAAAAACAATTAAATTCTAAAATGAACCCGATACTCTTTTCTTACTCGAGCAAGAAAATAAGCGGAAGATCGACGAGTACATGTATATATACTTGCTTTTTTTTTCGTTCCACACAATTCACCATCTTTTCTTCAACAGAAAAACTACTGATGAACCGCAGTTGACCGGTGCAATATGTGAAGAACCGTGATATCACTTAAAACCGGTGGTTAACCGCGGTAAATCGCCTGGTTTTAGAAATGCCATGGTTTACCACTAAAACTGATACGGTTTTAACAACATGAGTTCAACTTAGTTATCGTTAAAGAGTTGATTTTTCTTATATTTTATTGATTCATTTATTTTTGGATATAATCAAGTGTACGCGACTTGTTCGACTAACGGTCAATCATATAATGATTAAAATGGCAGCTGAATATTTTCAGAAACTAATAACATCACACTATATAGAGTATCACCCTGTTGTGATTAGAATCGTATTTTATAAGAGTAGGTGTGCTTTTCACATCATTTTACTGCTTTCGTTAATAGAAAGAAAATGATGAGGAAGATACAGTTGTAAAAAAAATAGTGATATATATATATATGTCGTAGGATAGATTAAAATCCAGTACAGTTTTAAATCGAACTAGGACAGATTAAAATTTTAATTTTTCCTAGTTCAGATTAAAATTTTAAAGTGAACTAGTTGACTTCGAAATGCATTTTAATCTCAACTAGTTGACTTTAAAATTTTGATCTGAACTAGGACACATTAAAATGTTTAGTCAAATTATCCGTGGCTGGCTGGTTGAAGATACGCGTTGGGGTGACGACAAGGGTCTATGGTGAATGATGATGAGTGAAGATGGAACTATTACCCGCGTCCTCGCGCTCGCCTTCACTTTCACCTATTATCCATCCAAATGTGTATATTTCAATCTGAACTAGTTCAAATCAAAATATTTTAATCTGTCCTGGTTCAGATCAAAATATTTGAAACTGTTCTAGTTCAGTTTAAAATATTTTGATTTTTCCTAGTTCAGATCAAAATTTTAAAGTCAACTAGTTGAGATTAAAATGCATTTCGAAGTCAACTAGTTCACTTTAAAATTTTAATCTGAACTAGGAAAAATTAAAATTTTAATCTGTCCTAGTTCGATTTAAAACTGTACTGGATTTTAATCTATCCTACGACATATATATATAATGAGTATGCGAAGTTAGTAGTTTCTTCTCATATAACTTTCATCTGACTGATGATTATTGGAAGAAAATATATGATATCTTACACTATGACAAATTTTTACATGAATGAATTATCGAAAAGTACCCTTACCCAGATCCACCATTCAAACCGCCTAAAAGATCGTACTACCGCATCATTCTGGCACGTATCAACATCAATACATTCAAACAATGATCGATCGTGTGCAACATCATATTCAATATGTTTCCACAGCAATGTTAGCCAGTCATTAAATATACAAAACTCAGGTTCTGACGAACTACCAAATGAACAGCAACCAAGTCTTATTGATAGTTATGCATCATCTACAGATGTATCTGATTCTCCACAACAACTATCAAATGATACTAACTATTGATAAATATTAAATGATTTGAAAAGCTACACCACCAAATTTCAATAATGCTGATGACATATCACTTTATTGATAATCTCAAAAGAAACAGAATAATCTATATTTCATATTGTTAGAGAACACTTCTTTCGTCCTTCTTTTCATGTACAACTATAATTGTATTTTTTCTTCGGATTTTCCTCTATTCTTATTTCTGACGTTGTTCTCTATTTTTTTGCACAGTAGAGTCACACACACATGATTCTTGTTCTTATTTCTCATATGGTTGTCCTACGGACTATCACAATAAAGAAAAACAATAAATAATAGTCAAACGATTATTTACAATCATACAGTTCATCGAGTTGAATTTTTTTTTTAATATAATTGTTTGCATTGCCAACAATCATCTTTGAAATAATTTATCAAAATTATAAAATCCAAATTTATAAGAAAAAAATTTTTTAGTTTCAATTATTTAATCATAATATCATATTCTTGTTCATTGGAATCAAAGCGTAAATAAAAAAACACTATTGAACTGTTAAAAAATCCTAAAAATATGCTCAAATGAAAATTTCAGAATATTATTTAAATAATAATTATTTTAACACATAGAACTGAAGAAATTTTAACAAATTAAAAATTCATCAAAATACTATTATTGCATTTTTTAATTTAATTTAATTTTTAGTCATTTGAGTGATTCACAGTTAAGTTAATATTCTTATACTGAGCGATTATCGTATTATGATCGATATTCATCATAAATATATTCCGTAAGCAAATTAGAGAATTCATTTTATATTGAATTTTAATTGTTAATCGTATCAAAAAAATCTATATTCATATTGCTTGAATTGTAATATTTAGAGTAGAGTTTAAAATTTCGAAGTGTTATGTATAGTAGATATATGTTTTTAAAAAAATAGAAAGAGACAAATGCAGTAGACGACCTCTTTTGATAACTTTTTCGTTATAGAGATTAGATTTTTAATAATGGTAAATTATACATTTGTTGGATTTCACCCTTCCTTTATCAGTGTTCCAAATGATGCGACATCAACCAAACACAGAATGCATGAAACATGAACGATTTTCAATTTGTACTCTACTCGAAAAAGAAAATGTTTTGTTTATTAGTCTTGCTTGACTGTTTACTTGTTATAGTCTAAATTTTTTATCTACCATGTTATTTGCTTGTTTTTATTGTTATTTAAACATTTGAAACAAAAATATGACAGTTGGATAGATGATAACTGTTCTTTGTCGAAGAAGCCCGTGAAAGGATTATAACTGAATCGTTTATGCTTTTTTTCAATCTTTGCACCTAGAAAATCGGATTTTAATCGAAGTTTTGTCGAATTACTTTACACAGGAAGTCTGGAGTACGAAACATAAACTGCTATTTCGTTTTTTTCTAGATAAATTTATAAGAAAATAGAAATAAATTTAATTAAAATGAAAAACTTTCTCTTAGATGAATTCTTGTTAAAAACTGAATAAAAATATTAAAATAGTTAATCGATTATTATTATGATTTTTTATTTAAATAGATCTTAAATTAACGATAAAATTGAAATTCATATTCCATATATTTTTCTAGAAAAAGATGTCAATTAATTTTTCTGTTCTTCCTGATGTAACGCCAGATGAAAATGCGATAACAATATTAAATGTTCGAGCGTATGTTATTAAATCAAACGAAACGGAAACAAATACAGGTGGATCTGCTGATTATCATAGTCAAGTTGATGGCCATTGGATATTTGGAACTGATAAATGGCCAATTGCTAATCCAATGTCATTATATGAAAAATATAAATCTCGTCGTTCAACTTGGGGTATTGATGCTATTGGTTCAGTTATTGTTGAAATTGAATTAACTAATGGAATAAAAGGTGTCGGAATATCTATTGGAGGACAACCAGCTTGTTTTATTATTGAAAATCATTTTAGTCGATTTCTTGAAGGGCAAGATCCACTTAATGTTGAATATTTGTGGGATTTAATGTGGCGTTCGTCAATTAATTATGGTCGAAAAGGTTTAACTATTCAAGCAATATCAGCAGTCGATCTTGCACTTTGGGATTGTGCAGGAAAATTAAGAAATGAGCCTGTTTATAAATTACTTGGTGGAAAAACTAAAAATTCTTTACCTTGTTATGCAACATGTTATGATCCATTAGCAGCAAAAAAATTAGGTTTTAAAGGTGCTAAATTTCCTTTACCATACGGGCCAGCTGATGGAGATGCTGGTATGAAAAGAAATATTCAAAGAATTAAAGAAATACGAGAAGCTGTTGGAGATGATTTTCCTTTAATGATTGTATATTACCATATAAATTATTTATTTATTTTTAAATGTTTCTTTTTAGGATTGTTACATGTCATTAACAGTAGGTTATACATTAGAATTACTTGAACTTATTAAACCATACAATATAAAATGGTAAATTTTCAATTTAATTTAATTTTTATTGGAAAATAAAAACATAAAAATAGGTTAGAAGAACATTTACCACCAGATCAATATGATGGTTACGCTCAAGTTAAAAAACAAAATCCTTCTAAAACCTTATTAACATGTGGTGAACATGAATATACTCGATGGGGATTTAAATTATTATTAGATAAGAATTGTGTTGATCTTCTTCAACCTGATGTAACTTGGTGTGGTGGAATAACAGAAGCACGTCGTATTGTTGCACTTGCATCTGCTTATGATGTTTCAATTATTCCTCATGGTTCATCAATTTATTCGTATCATTTACAATACGCATTTCCAAATTTGCCAATGGGGGAATTTATTTTTCTTTCACCAAATGGTGATTCTATTTCACCTTCGTTTGGACAATTATTTGATGATGAACCTTTGCCCATAGATGGATGGATTCATTTAGATCCGTATAAGCCGGGATTTGGTGTTACACTTAATAGAAAAAATCTTTATCGACCTTATCCAAGAGATAATCAATCGAAATAAATTTAATTTCTAATGGTGCTGAACAATAAAAATGTTTTAGAATTATAATTAAATTCTCTATTATAAAAGAAAAAGAAGTGATAGTTTTAATGTAGTGTTGTTGGATACTATAGAAAAATCGATGCTTCTCGATATTTTATTTTATCATCCATAGATCTGAGTGAAAATTCATAGCTCTGAAAGCTACGTATAAAATAGTATTTTTACTGTGGACACGTCGAGATCTACTTGAAATATGTGTGTGACAAGTAGAGCATTGACTGAAACAAATATGAATAGATTTTAGTCGAATACAGTATTAACTTCACGTACGTTTCAAAATTATATTCATATTCAATTTTAGTGTCACAAGAAAGAAAAAAAATAAGAATACTAATTATTGACATTGAAACTTCAAAGTTTCGTCTTACTAAATTTGTTTAAAAATCAGACCCGAAATAGTGATATAAGAACTTTCACCTACTTATATAGTGATATTTCAAAAAATGCCTTTGTTTTTTATTCTCATATGAAAATTTGATAAAAATCAATAGATAATATTTTAGAGAAGTATAGAAATGTTCAAAAGGTAAATTCTTAGAAATTATTTCAAAGTATCATTTCAATGAATTATCAAACATTGTCTAGATAATATGTTAAAAATCATTTAAAATTTGATTAAATTCATCTTGTCTTTTCTTATAGATAGTCAAATATTTCATTTTCTCTTGTTGTATTAATTGTGTAATTTGTGTTCGAATAATATTCATTTCGATTGAATATTGATTGACTAAATTATTGTTTTCAATTTTTTGTTTACCATCTGATTCTATTGATTGAATATTATTAGATTTATCAATAATAGACTTGTCTGAAATATCAATATAAATAGAAAACATAATGCAAACAATAGATAATTTATCATGGATATAATTTAATTTCAGTTTAAGAAGTTCCATGAAGAATTTTTGTTCTAAGATTGTTATCGTATTTGAATCAATTATTTCTATTTGTTCAATTAATATATCAATTTTAGAATATAAGTGAAGTTTAAAGTCGAATTCAATGATAGAAAATAGTGAAATGATTTTCTCTGTTTGATCTTCAATTACTAATAGGAATTCAATAATTTTTTCAGCTTCAGATTTTGGATAAATAAATTTCATATTTGTTTTGTTTAATTTTTCATTTGTAACAAATAAAATTTTATTATTAAGAACGAAGATTTCAATAATTTTAATAAACATATAAATAACAACAGGTGATAAATATTTAAAAGCATTTTTCATCATAAATCGATTTCTTTTGATATTTTCTAATGATAAACGATTTCTTAAATTCGATATTATTTGTCTGATTTGTTTTTTTAAATAATAAAATTTGTTTTTCAATTGATTAATAAATGTTAAACACTGAAATCCATTTCTTTTTAAATATTTTAAGAATTTTATAAGTAATTGAGATTTTATTTTCCAAGTCGAAATTTTTAATATTATTTTCAAATTTGTGTTCAAATCGAGTAAGATTGATTCCAGAATAAGATGAAGTTTTTTCATTAAAATTGAAACGAATTGAAAAATTTGTCGTACTTTTCAAAAATTAGAAAAGAAAAAATGAAAATAGAAAATTTTCAATGAAAACAATAACCTACGATTAGAAATAGAATCTATATTAAGGAAATTTATTAATTTAAATATATCAATTGTATGAATCAATATCAATAATTGTTCAATTTGATTAAAGTAAATCGATAATTCTAATAATAAATCTGTATTTGATTTTGATAAACTAGACGAAGATAATTCTTCTTTTATAGTTGATAATTGTTTTGTAATAAATTTATCAAAATTTGTTTCAATAATTGCTATTTCATTTTTAATTAGAATAGAATCTTCATGATTTTCAATGGGATTTTTGGAAAATATTTTCTTTTTTTGAGAAGGATTTTTTGAAAAATCCTTTTTAATATGATCAAAATATGAATGTATTAAAGCATTTGATGCTGTTATACGATATTCATCATCATAGAATAACATTTGAATAAGAAGATCAACTGTATCTAATGAACAAAATGCTAAATCTTGAATTAAACCAATACCTTGCTGAGTTTGAAAATTAAAATTAATCGATCGGTTTTTACTAAAAAAAATGTCAACTCATACAAAACAATAAAAATTAAAATAAATTGATTACTGTTGCTCGAATCTTTTCAGTATTTTCATTGAAGGTGTTCCAAATACTGAATGAATTTTATTGATTAGATCAATATCATTCGTACTCACAAATAGTGGTTTTAATCTTTACAAATTTTAATTAATACTATTAAATTTTAAAAAAAGTAAATTAATCTTATACGTAATTATTTCGAACATGACACATCCTAATTATATTAATTCGAACTGAAAAAAAGAGAAAGCAAAATTTATAATCTTACCCATTGACCAGATATCCATTGGTTGTCCATAGTATCCTTCAGTTAAAATACATTCGGGTGCACGATACCTCAATATGATAAATTCGATTTAGTTAAATCATTCAAAATTTTATTTCTTACCAACGAGTTGCAACATAATCTGTCAAAGGTCTCTTATTAGATACTGATCGGCACATTCCAAAATCTGCTAATTTAAAATGTTCTCCCTTAGCAAAAGAAAATTATACAAAAAATAAAATCAATAAAAATAAAAATTTACTTTGACAAGAATATTTTCAGGTTTGACCTTTTAAATTAAAAATAAAATAAATAGTATAGAAATTGGAGAGCATGGTAAATTCCTATTTCCAGGAAATTCAAAATGTGCTACATACTGAGAGCATGTTAAATTCCTATTTCCAGGAAATTCAAAATGCGCTACATACTACAATAAAGTAACACGTAGATAAAGAAGTGTATAAAAACGATGGTTATCGTTTAGATTTTTATCAAGCCATATCATACATTTTAATATAATGTAAGAGTCATTTATATATTAGTATCAATTCTGTCTATATCCATATGAATATGTATAGGTTGTATACAGATTT